AGGAACAAGACAAGGATGCCCACTATCACCACTCCTCTTCGATATAGTTCTGGAAACATTAGCCATAGCAATCAGACAAGAGAAAGAAATTAAAGCAATAAAGATAGGAAAGGAAGAAGTTAAACTGTCATTATTTGCTGATGATATGATACTCTACATTGAAGACCCAAAAAACTCTACCAAAAGACTTCTCGACTTACTTGACACTTTCAGCAGAGTAGCTGGATACAAGGTCAACAGTCAAAAATCAATAGCCTTCTTGTACACAAATAACAGACTCACTGAGAAATAAATTAGGGAAGCAATTCCTTTCACAATAGCACCCCAAAAAATAAAGTATCTGGGAATCAATCTAACAAAAGAAGCAAAAGACCTCTACACTGAAAACTACAGCACGCTGAAAAAAAGAGATCGAGGAGGATATAAGAAAATGGAAAGATAACCCCTGCTCCTGGGTAGGAAGATTCAACATAGTGAAAATGGCCATACTACCAAAACTGCTATACAGATTCAATGCAATACCAATTGAAATCCCAACACTATACTTCACAGAACTAGAAAGAAGAATCCAAAAATTCACTTGGAACCATAAGAGACCTAGAATAGCAAAAGCCATCCTAGGCAACAGATACATGGCAGTGGGTGTAACAATTCCCAATTTGAAACTATACTACAAAGCCACTGTGATAAAAACAGAATGCTACTGGCAAAGAAGCAGGCCTGAGGATCAGTGGAACAGATTGGAAGACACAAAAACAACTCCAGATGTACTCAGCTACCTCATCTTTGACAAAGGAGCTGACCGTCCCCACTGGAGGAAAGATAGCCTCTTTAATAAATGGTGTTGGAAAAACGATCTCAACCTGCCAAAGATTAAAACTAGACCCTTATATCTCACCATGCACTAAATTAAAATCCAAGTGGATTAAAGATCTAAATATTAAAACAGAATCACTAAACTTTCTGGAAGTTAAGTTAGGCAGAACTCTGGAAGACATTGGCAAAGGAAAAGACTTTATGAACAAATCCTCAGTAGCACGGGAACCAGCAGAAAGAATCAACAACTGGAATCTCATCTTATTAAAAAGCTTCTGCACTGCAAAAGAAACCATCAACAGAACTAAGAGACAACCTACAATGTGGGAAAAAATTTTTACCAGCTGCTCCTCAAAGGACTACTATCTAGAATATATAAAGAACTCAAAACAATCAGCGCCCCCAAATATAAAGACCCTATTAAAAAATGGGCATCTGAAATGAACAGATATTTCTCAGACAAAGAAATAAAAGCAGCAAGTAAATATATGAAAAAATGTTCCACATCACTGGTCATTCGAGAGATGCAGATGAAAACAACACTGAGATTTCACCTCACCCCACAAAGAATGGCTGCTATCAGGAAATCACACAATAATAAATGTTGGCGCGGTTGTGGGGAGAAAGGAACTGTTCTCCATTGTTGGTGGGAGTGCAGACTGGTGCAACCACTATGGAAGTCAATATGGAGATACCTCAAAGAACGAGGATTAGAGGTTCCATTTGACCCAGCCATCCCTCTGTTGGGTATCTTTCCAAAAGAATTAAAAGAATCATACCACAGTGATATATGCGCACCCATGTTTATAGCAGCACAGTTTGTAATAGCTAAAACTTGGAAACAGCCCATCTGCCCATCAACTGGAAACTGGATAAAGAAGATGTGCTTTTTCTATAAAATGGAATACTACTCAGCCATAAAGAATGAGAAAGTAGATTCATTCATAGGTAAATGGGTACATTTTGAGGATATACTCCTAAGTGAAATAAATAAGTCAAACATATGCAAATACTGAATAGTTTCTCTAGTGTGAAAAACTAAAATAGTACTCATGATCCTAATGGGACAATTAGCAATGTGAATTAGGAAGAAAAGACCAAAGGTGTAGGGACAGTGAGAAGGCTAGGAAAAGTTGAGGATATACTTCTAAGTGAAATAAATAAGTCACACATATGCAAATACCAAATGGCTTCTCTGGTGTGAAAAACTAAAATAGTACTCAAGATCCTAATGGGACAATTAGCAACGTGAAATAGGAAGAAAAGGACCAAAGGTGTAGGGACAGTGAGAAGGATAGGGAAAGGGGAACAAGGGAAAAGGAAAAAATATGAGAAAATGTAAAAATGGAATTAAAGTGTTTGAAGGTGGGAGGGGAGGGGAAGGTGAAGGGAGAGTGGGGACAAGGGGAAAAAATGAGAACCAAGACCTGGCACGTAAAGGTACAAGATCCCAGTAATGAATGTAACTGTACTGTCTACCTGGAATGTACCAATAAATTAAATTTAAAAACATACTGAGTATTTAGTGTACACCTACAACTTTACCCACCCACCAAGATACAATGAGTAGTAAAAAGCCATCAAACAGGGGCCTGCCTGTGGGTGATCGATCAGAAAAGTCTTTGTTTACCAGGGGTATGGGCCGTACCAGAGAGTCCAACAGTGAGATTCAGGGTGAGGGTTTGGGGCCAAGGGGAGACTAAGATCAGGCATATAGGCAGTCAACTAAGTTTATGTAGCTGACCCCAGTAAAATCTCTGGACATCCACCTATAGGGGGGCTTCTCTAATTGTCCCTACTCTGTGTATACTGTTAAACACTGCTGCCCACAAGTTAGCTCTGTCATATCTCTACTTGGAGAAGATAAATGAAACTTTTATTTGTGAGACTTTCTGGAATTCCATGAGCTTCTTCCTTGTCTGATTTTAAATCTGTATCCATTCAATGTAATAAATTGTACCATGAACATAAGTTGGAATGAGTTAAGGGAGATGTAGAGGAGGCCACAAAACAATTACATTAACAAGTGTTATATAAGTTGTTATGACTAAGGACATTGAGGGTACTATAAGAACACACAGGATATGTTCTAGGAAAAGGAAACAGCAGTTAAGGACTTGGATGTGAGACAAAGCAGTAAGATTAGTTGAAGGGAACAAAATGTTAAAGGGAACAGTGCTTTTACTAATTTGCAAATTTTGAAGCAGACATCCTTGGAAAGACAAAACAATTTGGAAATTCAAGAAAATCTCACAGCATAAGGTAAAATTAAAATTAATTGAAGGATTATTAATTGACTCAAAGTAACACTTGCTTCCAGGAATGAATTTGGACTCTGTTAATACAGTGAATTACATTGATTGATTTACATATGTTGAACAATGCTTGCATCCCTGGAATAAATATCACTTGGTCAGGGTGTATGATCTTCTTCATGACCCTCTGTATTCTGTTTGCTAGTATCTTAATTGAGGATTTTGCATCTATGTTCATTAGGGAGATTGGCCTATAGTTCTCTTTTTTGGATGGGTCTTTCCCTGGTTTTGGAATCAAAGTAAGGATTATCAATTGAAAATATACTGATAGGCATTACTAATAGGAATGAAAACCAGCTCACACTGTAAGAAAATGTACTGGGCAATGTTTATCAAAATCTGTCAATGACATTATAAATATTCATGCCTTTTGACTAGCAATAGAATTTCTGGGAAGTCATCCCTCAGACATATTTATACATGAAGTATGACCCTACGTCTGTGCTATCACGGCTGCCTTGATTTCCTGAACTGATTCAAAACCTTTCATGGTCATTTTGACTTGGGCGAAGAGCAATGAAGCCACATGCTGCCAGATCCAGTGAATAAAGTGGATGAGGGCATGGCATGCACTTGCCACTGGATGGCACACAGTAGCAGCATTCACTGTATTTTTGAATATATCTTAAAAGACACTCATGAAAGAGGAATTCCAGAACTGCTTCATAAAATGGTATAAGAACAATGGGATAAATGTGTTTGAATTGAGGGGGAGTATTCTGAGAGGGATTAAGAGCAATGATGTGTCTTCTAACATAATAAATTAAAAAAAAATTTAAACATTCACCATCTATATATTTTTTGTTTGTTTTTGCTTTTGTTTTTTTGTTTTTTTGAGACAGGGTCTCACTATGTAGTTGAGTCTGACCTGGAACTTACTTATGTAGCCCGGGCTGGTCTCGAATTCACAGTGATCCTCCTGCCTCAGTCTCCCAAGTGCTGGGATTACAGGCGTGCGCCACACCAGGCCCATTCACCTTATATTTTGATAATTATTTAAAAAATGGTGTAAATACAGGATTATTCAATGTGGCATTACTTGTAATATGAAAAGATGGACTATGACTGGGTGTGGTACTTTATTCCTGTAATTCCAACACTTGAGAGGCTGTGGCAGGAGGATTGCCACAAGTTTGAGGCCAGCCAGGGAAACACAGTGAGTTCAAGGCTAGCCTGAATGACATAGCTATGAGACCCTGAATTCCTGATCCTGTTAAAAAGATAGCTACATACCAAGTGGCTTTCAAGCCGGGGATTTAGCTCAGCGGTTCAGTGGCCTGCCTTGCAAGCACAAGGACCCGAGTTCGATCCCCGGTACCAAAAAAACAACAAACAAACAAAGAACAACAACAACAAAAAACAAATGGCTTTCAAAAGGGGAATGTACATAAACTGCTGTCTCCATAAACAAATACTACGGAACCATTAAAAAACATGAGATATTCTGATTTGTTAAAGGAAACAAAGAAAAGCACAGCGATGCATAGCATGCTACTACTTATAGAAAACATAATATTGATGTACTTATTTACAAAAATGCTTACATAGCCAGGGATTTAGCTCAGTGGTGCTGCCGCCTGCTTCGAAAGAGCAAGGTCCGGATTGATCCCTGAAACCAAAAATGCTTACATATTCCTAAGATCTAGCTCTGGAAAAACAATAGGAAACTGATAGCATGCTGGGAAGAGGACAGGGAAATGGAGGGGAACATTTTGCTCTGTCTACTTACTCTTGTGCACCCTTTGAAGTTCATCTATTTAAAATATGAAGTTATTGATGAAGCTGACCAATTAACTGGGAATACTTGAACAGAACAGAGAAGATATTGAAAAGGTCCCGATTGGAATTCTTAGTTATATATGCACATACCTGACATTCTGTTTCATTAGTTTTCATTATCTTGAAGTCATCTTGTTTACTTGTGATCTTCTGCAACTAAAAAGATTGCAAACATAAGTTTACATGTGTATCTATTGGATTTTTCAAAATAACTTGAAAACAGATGCTAAGTTGTTATAAAATATATACTGATTTATTTGTTACACATTAAACACATTCTGCATAGGTCTGATCCCTTTTTTCTTAGGCCATGCAAGAACCAAAGGAGAAAACAGATAAGAAAAGCATCAACATTATTTACAATTTTCTCCTAGGGAAGCTAGTTTACTTAACACATATATGTTATAAAGACAGTAGTCTTAAAAATATGTCACAGTTATTCTTTCAAGAGAATTTTAATTCATAACTTACTTTTCATATCAATGATAATGCCCATATTCTTAGTATATATATATACCCTTAGAATATAGTATATATTATATACATACTTTCTCCCTTTGGGCATTTATAAAACATTAAAATAATTTAAAGACTTACATTTACATTAATTATAAAATTGATGCTAGTACCTTGAAATTGAACACATTAAAAAAAACCTACCTACCTTTCAGTCATTTGTACCAATCTTCATACGGAAAGCAAGTTTAAAAAATGGATTTAAAAATAAAAATAATCAGATGTAGACAAAAATCCCAAAATACAGATTTAAATAAATCAGGAGATAAATCTTCCCTTATTTTTCCAGTAGGTGATTTCTTTGTTAAAAGTTTGAAAACTGCTGCAATTACAACTCAAATTATCTACCACAAATTCAGGCACTTTTATTATGCCTGTGTTAGGTAAATGGCTTATCTTCAGGCCTCTAAGTCTCTTGCTCTGTTTTTACTTCTCCTCCTCACTTAGTTCAAGGGAAAGTCGAAAAGCTTTATATTTGATTTACCTTTTTAAAAAAATTGACAGCCAAATGATATATAGTAACTACTTCAATAAACATTTCTCCCTTTCTTACTGCCCCACCTTTTTCAGTCTTATTATGTAGATCTCAAATATAAAGTGAACAGAATTCTATAAAAGACTATAATCATTATTCAGCTTCAGTGATTATTGGTACATTCATCATTGTTGGTTCATCTATATTTTTTGCCTCTTTGGTTCCCTTTATTATTTATAGCCCCAGAGGAAAAAAATTCACACATTAAGATGTATAAATCTTGCCGGGGATTTAGTTTAGTTCAGTGATACCACCACCTGCCTCACAATTACAAGGTCCTGAGTTCGATCCCTGGTATCAAAAAAAAAAAAAAGTATAAATCATACCCATACAATTTTGATTATTTGTCTCTTTCCAATCCATCCTTTCTCCCTGCTTCACCATAGAAACAGTTCTGATATTTCCCAACTAGTTTCAAAATTCAAATAAATGAAATCATACACCATGTATTCTTTTGTATTTGCCTTCTTTCATCCAGCACTGAGGTCTTGAGATGCATGCTCTTTGCCTATCAGTAGTTCCTGTTTATTGTGAAGCTTTACTATACTCTATGACTATGCCATCATTTACTTATTTATCTGTTCCTAATCTAAGACACAGAATGATGTTACCTTTATGTTTTTGGTGGGGCTGGGGATGGAACCCAGGGCCTCATGCATGCTAAGCACATGCTGTACCACCAAGTCACCTCTCCTCAGCCTCCCTTTACATTTCTGTAAATGCTCTTTAAAAGACTGAGAAAATTCTCTTCTATTTCTACTTTGTTGAGTTTTAGCAAGAAAGGGTTTATTTTGTGAAATGCTTGGAGTGTATTAACATGATCATAATGTTTTCTTCTTTATCGTGTTAATAAGATGAATTGCACTGATTGGTTTTTCAACCCCTAAGATAATTTAGTATTCTCTGGATAAATCTCACTTGGATGTAAGTATATATGTATGTACTGTGGCACTGAGGGTTGAACCCAGGGGCACTTGACCACTAGCTCTTCTTTTTTTTTTGAATTTCAAAATTGGGTCTTGCTGAATTGCCCAGGTTGGCCTTGAGCTTGTGATCCTCCTGCCTCAGCATCCCACCTAGCTGGGATTACAGGTGTGTACCACACACCTAGTTATCAGATATTATTTTATGCCATACTGGATTTGATTTGCACTATCTGGTTAGGTATTTTATTTAAGAGAAAAACTTGTTGGGTCTTTTGCAAAGTTTTAGTTAGAGCTAAGCTGCTTTCAAAACACAAGAAGGAAGTATTCTTTTGTCTTGTATTTTCTGAAAGGTTTTGTGGAGATTTGACAGGATCTCTTTGTTAAATGCTCAATAAATTTCCACAGTACAACCATCTGGATGTCAACATTTCTTTCCGGGAAGGTTTGACAGTAAGTCTGATTCCTCTGACAAAGGTTGTTCAGACTTAAATCTCATCTCCTTAGGTTTGTTTTTTAAGGTATCTGTCCATTTCATCCAAGCTGTCAAACTTACAGGCACATATGAACCGGCTGCTTACAATGTTCTATTTTTATCTTTGTGTCATCTGTAGGCTCTGTGTCAATATTGCCTCTGATTCCTAATATTGATAATTTGGGTCTTCCTACCTTTTTTTGCTAGATCATGTTGGAAGATTTGTCAAAATTTGTTGTGTAAATAATAAAAAATTTAAGATATTTAACAATAAATGTTATCCATAGAATCCTTTTATTGCTTTGTATAAGACATTTACTTATAATCTTCATAATCTTACTGTCAAAACATTATAAACAAAACAAAAAAGTGCAAACGGGATGGATTCATTTAAGTAAGAAATTCTTAGGAGGATCATTTCCAACATGGTATGAAGTATAGCCAAGGAAAAGACTGTCCCAAAGTCTACACAAAGGGCTTTGTAGCAGATGATCTTGTTAAGTCAGGTTTTACCTAAAACACTTCAGTCAGGATCATGGAGAAGGCTCTAGCAAGTTCTGGTATATAATCTGAAGAAACACTTCCATCTGAAAGAACATAAGCATATATATTTTTTTGTCTAGAGACTTAGGCCAAAAGTCTCCTGTCTCCTAAAGCTCCCTTCTAAACTGGCCCGTGACACTGACTCATGACAACAGGGTAATTACTATGGGGCACAGCACTCCTTTAGGTGCAGGTGTGAAGGACGGCTCTTGGGCTCATGGCCCCTCAGTCTGCATTTGCATTCTTCTTCATTAGAGATAATAAACAAGTAAATGTAGTAACTTCAGATAATGCTGAGTGCTGCATCTGCAATAAAATGAAGCAGGGGAAAGGGTTGAGAAATGGCTGTGGTACGCTATTAAACAGGTTTGTTGTAGGTAGGTCTCTGAGGAGATACTGGGCGAAATCCAAATGAATAAAAGCTACAAAGGAGTGGGAAAGGACTTTCCAGGCAGAGGGAAGAACAAGGTTTCTATTGGATAACAGGGTGCTATGTTAAAAACCTAGAAAAATTGTTATGTGGAAGTTATAAAAGACTCAGGAGGATATCTATTGGCTAGATACAAATTCTTTATTACTTAAAAAATAACTGCCAAATGTTATTTTAATTTATATTGGCATTTTCATTTGGTGGTTGAAAATGATGTATGTAAAGTCAATTTAACTTATTTTTTGCTTTCAGGGTAATAGTTTATATTGAATACTATAAAAAAAGAATAAATTCTACTGAAGGCTTTTATATTTATTTAGTAATAACTCTAGCAGGTATATTTAGCATGATAAAATTATAACACTATATGAAGAGCACTGTCCTTCCTACCAGTATGAAAGTGATGTGAAATAAAAGGACCACCTAAGGAGCAGTTTATACTACTAAACAGAATTGTCATTAATCTGTTGTTTACAGAAGTTGCATTAAAACCCTGGCACTTATCCCACATAAGCAGATGTACCATCTATCAAGGTAAAGATGAAATGAATTAACTATTACTGGCTTTGATCACTGTCGGTATTGTTTACTATTACCTGACAGAGAACAACTCAGGCAGATAGCTGCTATTTTATGAGTTTTGGGACGAAGAAGTAAGCAATACACTTACTAATACAGTTTTTAGATCTTAATGTTAACAAAACATAAATGCACTACAAAGCACAAAAGTAACTAAGCCAAATTATATTTTAGGACATTTTCACAATATTTTATCATTACTTTTGTGTTTCATGCTCAAATCACTTTGTAATTCTCATTACTTTTTTGGCACTTATGGTAGGGAGAGCAGTAAGTAAGACTTAACTGGGGGAACATTGAGATAAGCTAAAAAAAAAAAAATCCCTGCTCTTTAAAGTACACTTTTCTGATTTGAAAAGAACCATTTGGTTCCTTCAGACCATTTCAAATATAAGATGCTAAACACTTAGATGTATTAATATAAATGCAGTTTTCTTCTCTTCAAGGCTGTTTTTAAAAATCTTTTGTTCTTTTGGTTTTTGAGACATGTTCTTGTTATGTACTTCAGGCTGACAGTGAACTCACTTGTAGCCCAGGGTGGCCTTAAAACTTCTGGTGATCCTCCTGCCTCAACCTAAGCACTGAGATTTCAGTGTTGTACCATGCCTGGGCCAAAGAACATTTTATAGGGTTATAAGGTTGACTTTTACAACCTCAATTTAAAAAAAATATAGGGATACATCCTGTCATATTCACTTAACTCATGGGCTAATTATCCAAGAATTTTCTAAACATTTAAAGAGAAACTAGAAGAATTCAGAAATTGTTTCATAAACCAGCAAATGAAGCTGTTGAGTGAAAAACTTGAAGTGTCATGCAATCACATTAGGAATGGAGGCTGCCTCTACTGCCCTTTCCAGTCTTCCTTTCCATATCTCCTCTCTCTGGCTTGTGACATAGCCTCTTGTCACCACCATTACCAAAGGGCACCAAAACTTGGATCCTCGTAAGCACAAGACAAGTGTTGTAACTAGGAGCACTTTTGAGGCCACTTTATAAGATTACCTTCAACTTCATTATTCTAGAGCTGTAAAGGATGTCTCAGTACCTGTGACTCCCCAGGAATAAAAGCAGAAAGTCCAACTAGGTCTGAGGGAATTCTCGTTATGTGCTAAACAGCTTAACAAATCTAAAAGAATCTCATCTTTATGCATC